TATCTTCTGGGGAATCGACGATTAATTGTGTCTGTGTGTTTAATCGACGATTTCTTCTGGGGAATCGACGATTTCTTCTGGGGAATCGACGATTAATTCCCTCCTGAAAGGAGGAAGACAGGGAAGGGCAGGAAGACCAGGAGGGGCAGGACTGGAGATGGGGTGCCCCAGAGAGGGCCTCGCCTACGGCGCCGCCCGCCCTCGGCGGAGGCGGGCGGAAGCAGCACGGGCGGCGGGGCCACTGGCGGAAGACGAGCAGACGGACTACCTACCAGACCACCCCAACCCAACCCAACCCGAAGACCCGAATTTCGGGTTGGGATTAAGTCGGGCGTGTCCCCCTACAGGGGGAGCTTCGACGAAAAATAAAAAATACCCAACAAATACCTCAAAAATAATCAAAAAATAGTTCGGGGACTATTTTTGAATATTGTTTGACCTTTTCTGGGGGTATGTTTGGGGTATGTTTTATTTTTCGCCGAAATCCCCCTGTAGGGAGGGGGACACGCCCGACATAAACCTACCAGACCACCCCAACCCAACCCGAAGACCCGAATTTCGGGTTGGGGGGGGTACGGGCTTCAAACGTGTTTCTCCGATGTTCCCCGACCCCCCCCCCCAGTGGAAATGGAGGGCAAATCGGGGCCTTCGGGTTGGGTTGGGGTGGTGTTGGTGGGCGGTGACAGAAGGCGGCGGAAACAAAAAAGGGCCGTCGGACTCGGGGTACGGCAGCTTCGTGTCTTGCCGACCCGGGCGCTGGTTACTGACACCGCGGGGAGATCGTTCAACCCTGAACGACCGGCCGTTTACGTAACGTCCGATCGTTCCACATCGACCGGTTCTTGGCCGCCGCCGGCGTGCACTGTTGAACGCCGGCGGCGGGGTCGCCGCCGGTCGACACGACACAAACCTAACGTACTCCAGATTTCGTAATAAAAGGGAGGGGGTCTCATTTCGGGGGGGGTCTCTTCCAGGCTATCTTGGAGGGCCTGGGGGGTCTGGGGACGATGTTTTGGAGGGTTCTCCCACGGGGGGGTCTGAAATGGCTTGTCTTGGAGGGTCCAGACCCCCTCCCTTTTATTACGAAATCTGGAGTATCCGGAGTTTGACGTATAGCCGTCGGGCGAGGCCCATTGAGAATGCGCTGGGCCTTCGCGCGCACGCCCCCGCGCCTCCGACGCGGTGGTCGTTGCAGCCCGCGGGCCCCGGAGAGCTCGACCGCCTCCCTGGATCCGTTCTGCTCGCTGGCTCCCTGGAGGCCGCCATGAGGGTACTCCAGATTTCGTAATAAAAGGGTGGGGGTCTCACCCTCCCAGACGAGAAGTTTTAGACCCCCCCCCCCTGTGGGAGAACCCTCCAAGACATCGTCCCCAGACCCCCCCAGGCCCTCCAAGATAGCCTGGAAGAGACCCCCCCCGAAATGAGACCCCCCTCCCTTTATTACGAAATCTGGAGTATCATAAACCCTTGGCAGCAGGAAGCCCAAAACAGCTCTTTCAGAGTGCAGCAGAGAGTGAGAATGCAAAGAATACCCCTCAAGCCGAGGAGAGCTTTCTCCGAACGCCAGTCCAGAGGCCAAGGTGGGCTAGCAGCCGGTCGCATGCTAGTGTTGGCGAGGCGATGCGGGTTTGCACCACTACATCGCGAGGACGCCTCAAGCGAAACCGCGCCCAAACCAGGCCAGTCTAGGCAAATCACAAGGACGTCTCAAGCAGAACCGCGCCCAAACCGGACAAATCACAAATACGTCTCAAACGAAACCGCGCCAAAACCAAGCCAAACCAAGGCAATCGTGGGGACGTGTCAGACGAAACCACGAGCAAACCAAGCCAAACCAAGCAAATTGCTAGGAAGTCTCCAAGCGAAACCTGCCCCAAACCAGGACAAGCCAGGGCCCAAACCAGGCAAAGCCTGAGGAAGTCCCAGGCGGGGCATCACGCCAAACCATGCCAAACCAACCAAGCCAAGCAACTTCGAAAGGGTCCTGAGCGAAACGCCCCAAACCTGGCCCCATCTATTGTCTTTTACAAAATTTCACGATAGAAGCGGATGACCCAAGGGGGTCGCATCGCAGGGGGTCCTGCAATTAGAACTTAATGGATCTTATGGGGGGGGGCTTGGGCGCAGCAACATGCATGGGGCTGGGGCGAGACAGCATGTACTGAGTTTGTCTTGAGGCTGTTGTTCTCCAAATAGGCTTCATAGGAGTCCTAGATCACAAGTAGTTGGTCTTTAGGACCCCTCCCCCCTTTTTTCCATTGGCACCCCCCCTTATTTCCAATGGCACCCCCTCCCCCCCCCTTTTGCCAATGGCACCCCCCCCTATTTCCAATGGCACCCCCCAGCTGATTCCTATGGATTCCGATGAGTCGTACTCGCATGGCTGCTCGCTTCTTTTTGCTTGCCACTTCATGCTTGGCTTCCTCTCCTCCCGTCCTCTCCTCCTCGTCTTCTCCTTCTCTCGCTCCTCTCCTGTCCATCTGTCTATTTGGAGTCAACACTGGCTGAGATTCGGGCTTCGGTGTGGCCTCCGGATGTGTCTGCATACATGCTTGCATGCAGTGCATTGGAAGAGAAGCCATGCGGGAGACCACGCGGGAGACCAGACGGGGGACCTCATGGGAGAGAGCACGCAGCACGGGAGAGACACGCATACGAGAGACCGTACGGGAGGCCGGGAGACCACACGGCAGACCATGCGGGAGACTGCGGGGCTCCGACTCCGGATCCGGGAGGGCTCGCGCGTGCCTTGAAGAGGCACCCGCCACCGTGCCTGCGAGGCACGAGTTGGAGTGCCCTCAGGCCCCGTGCTCAAGCCCCTGAGGCTCAGCTCTCGCTCGCTCGCTCAAAAGGGCAGCAGACGCCGAAAAGCGCGTGGACACCTCGAGCACGGCGCAGTACGGGGCAACTACGAGGGGAGCCGGCGGTAGACCGTCAACCAGGTTACCGCCGGGACCCTCGTAGAGCTCTTGACACGCGTATCAGTATTCAGAATACGAAGAGAAGGCTTCCTTGAACATCAGCTTGAAAACTCGAACAATATCTTTTTGGGGGTTTGATAAGAAGTCGGTTCCCCTACGTCACCTGTCGCCCAAAGGAGGAGGAGGAGGAGGAGGAGGAGGAGGAGCAGAGTACTGGGCAGCACCTCTCGCCCAGAGGCACTGCAGCCCCGAGAGCCTGCCCGTGCACCAGCGGCGCGCGCCTGCACGTGCCCAGAGGCCGTGCGTGCGCCAGGGGCGTCTGCCCGCTTGAGGCCCAAGGAGGCCCAAAGACGGGCCAAGAGGGCCCGCCGAGGCCCCGCCCTCGACCCCGAGGATCTCTCAGGGGGCCGGGGCCCAAGATGCTCGAATCTCCCGTTTGGACGCCCGAAATGGGCACGGAAACAATGGGGACAATGCCCAACAGCAAATGTTGTCCCGAATCAACAGCGGCCGCTGTTGGGCAGGCGGTCTTCTGTCTCAAATGGACACAGGCCGCGGCGACACCGACAGCGAGTCGTGTTCAAAATGAACAGGAACTGCTGTTGGGCATTGTGCCCATTCTTTCCGTACCCATTTCGGTCGTGCCGATCCCGGGGATCCCAGTGCGCCTGGGGCGTCTGCCCGCTTGAGGCCCAAGGAGGCCCAAAGGCGGGCCAAGAGGACCACAGGAGGCCTCGCGGGCGGTGCAAGAAGGCCTCGAGTCGCCGAATGATCGGTCCAGGGCAAGGTGGCGGGATGGGCCGAAGGCCACTAGTACCAGACCCGTAGGGAGAAGCTGCTTTGGGAACCTCTAGGAAGCATTTTTTTTCTCTCCTCCTTCTTGTTTCCACAGATCGCAGCCCCCTCGCAGTCGACCTGTGGAGGGGGCCATCCACTTTTGTCAGCCCACGGTTCGGCTTTGCGTAGGCTGCACACCGTGAACCCGCGACAGGCCCCCCTCCCCAAAACGGGGTATCCGAGCGTGCGCTCCCCAGACAAAAGAATATGCTGTCAGCGGATGCCGGGGCCTCTGGAAGTCTCAGGAGGCACCCGGAAGTCCCGGGAGATCCCCATGGGCATTTGAAGCCCCCCAGAGGCCATGAAATTCGCCGGCCCAACGGGCCAGAGGCGTGCTAAGATCTCCGGTAACTTGTTAACAATATTTCTAGTTCGCGCGCGCGGAGCGGCCCCTGGGGGCCCCCGGACGAAAAGTACCCCGGCAAGGTCCTGAGAGAAGCCCGGGAGAAGCCACCAGACCACTCCAGGGGAGGGTATTTTTCGACACCCCTCACGAGGATCGTGGCCTCCGAGGGGGGAGCCGCAATCGACTACCCCCAAGAGCCCCCCAAGAGGCCCTGGGGGCCTCCAAAACGCCGCCAAGGAGCCCCAAGAGACTCCCAAGAGGTCCCCAAGAGGCCCCCAAGAGGCCCTAAAGAGGGCTCCAGGGCCGGCGGCATGAGCGAAGCGATTAATAATCCAGAACACGCAGCAAGGTTGCTTCAGCCCGTGGGCCCCAGGACATAGTTCTTGTCCGCCCCATCTCCTCATTCGGCCGCACTGGGCCCCGAGACACACAAGCTCCTGCGGGCCAAAGCTGAATAGTGAATAGAAGCGCGGCAGGCAGACAGAAAAGAAAGGACCAGGCAGAGGTCGGTAAAACAAGGCTAGGATCGGGATAAATCGCTCCAGAGCGTTCCGGAGCGCTCTCAGAGCGTTCTGGAACGCTCTGGAGCGGCCGCGGCGCCCAATACATCCTCCAAACCCGCCGATTCTCAGAGATTTCGAAGTATCCCGATCCGATTTTGTCCCGATCTTCGCGTCGTTTGAGTCGGGGCCTCCCCCTTCCGCTCTGTCGCGGCAGGTGTGCGCGCAGAGGCCGCCGCCGCCCGCAGCGGCCGCAGCGGCGGCTGCCAGAGCGGAGGCCTCGGCGGCCGCGCGGCCGCGCCACGGCGGCACCTGCCGCGAGGAAGGCTCGCAGCGCGGTGCCTCGGAGGGCGGGGCGCGCCTGGAGCGGCGGCGGCGGCGCGCTGGGGCGCGCGCAGGCGCTGGACGTGCTCCACCTCGCTGCGGACGTCGCGCAGCTCCGCGGTCCTCTCGCGGTAGATGGC